GACACTATTTGAGCAGCTTTTCGCAGAAAGGAGATGAAAAACTGTGTTTAGATGATCACCTTTAACCTCATCCACCAGTTTGACAACCTAAAAGTGCAATTCACAATAATAATTAAATCAAATAGAGGATATTACTGTTTCTACTGAAGAAGGTGTAAGCATAGGTTGTAGATGAAACTAATGTTCATCAGCGCCATCTAGTTAAACCAGGAATACTAAAAACTGCATCTGATACGTGTATTTAAAAGATAAGCAAATATTTTACCATAAAATAACAAAAGATACTCTAAAAACTGTACCGTAAAATAAAAAGCAGAGTAAAAAGGCTAAAATGTCCCGCAGTCTTACAGTAAAAGTTCACTGGAGCCACTAATCCAGCGATCATAACATCTATAAACAGGAAGACATTATTTTCAAAACAAGACTGGAACTTCAAGCAGGATGTAAATACAACCTCCATTTTTACTCTACAGCACATATTACTTATTTATCACTGAGCTTCATTTAAACAGCTGAGATAAATCTCACCTCCACGTCCAAAAAGAAACAACTGACGCCACAAACTGTAAGAAGTTTTACTCACCGACGGGTTTAAAACACGGATTATTTTATTCACGTTCCTTCTTATGGTTGCAGAGTCTCGTTTTCTTTGTAAATTTCGCCATATAACTCTATTAATAAATACATTTTTTGAATTAGCTGTAGCTTTTAGCCGGAGGAACCGTTAGCAAACAAAGCAGAGCTACGCTCCGTTTTCTACTTCGACTTCACATTTTTATCTAGATCCGGGTAAGCAAGGAGAGGATGCCATCTAGTGTTTGTAAATACAAACTGCAGGCCATGTTAAAATAGATGGAAGCACTTATTTCGCGTCACATGAATCACGTAATCAACTGCCGGATGTTACTGCTGACACAACAGACGAAGTAGACGACAGGAAGTAGTAGGAGGATGATGTTTTGTTTTTTTCAGGTGACGTGCTTGAGCCAGTAGTGACGTTTTCAGGAAACGGGAAGTCATAAACTACTGGATACTTATCAAGACTGATCAATTTAAACAGTAAAAGGATAAAAATATGAATTTAATCTAAATTTATTTTTAAAATAATTGCTAGAATTAAACAATGGTTTTTGCTATCTGTGATTTTGTTGAAGAAATTATTTCACTGGACTCTGAGTTCAGTGTTTAGGGCTGAAACAATTAATCGGATTAATCATGATTCATCGATTATTAAAATAATCGTCAACTAATTTTGTAACTGAGGAGTTGTAACTTGATAATAGACTCAAAAAAGGCAATTTGCTGAAAGAAAAACATGTTCAGAGCAGCAGTTAAGCCAAAATTAAACTAAGAATATATACATTTAGCGTGAAAACAAGTTTTTTTTTTCCTATAATATATTCTGGACATTCAAGTTGCACATTTTAGCTTCTGTAAAAAAAAAAAAAAACTTTTGCTAACCAATTACTAATTAGTTAATCTAACAAATATCAACAGATCCGAGCCTTTCACATGTTGATTTTGGCAGTTTTAGCTGCAGATGCATCATTTGCTACAAATAATCAAGCATTCACTATGGTTTGCCATGTTGTTGCATTTAAGCAACGAAATGTTTATTTATAAAAGGAATTTAATAGTTTATTTGCATTTTTTATGCATTTCGAATTTTGTATGGAATCAGCCTAAGTAACTAAATGGAAAATGACTAAATGTGACATTATTAAATGTGATTAATTGTAAGAACAATTAATTATTCAAATAAGTTGTATCAAAAATATTCAGAGTGAGGCTATGCTGCCGCAATATAGTACTAATATAAAATGAATTTGACCGACTGAAGAACTGTGCAGACAGATAAGGTTCTTGTTTGTTTGTATCAGTCAGAACCAGCCGGCTTCCCTTAGATCTCAACCACTAATCAAGTCGTGGTTCCTGGAGGAGGAAGTGAAAATCCCAGAAATGGTTTTACCTCATTAACACGGGCAGGATGGACGTAAAGTTTTCTACATCCACTGCATGAGACTGTGGGTGAAGTCATGGGAAAGTGAGAGATTAAATCTGCTTTGCATTTAGTCCCAAAACAACAACAGTTTCTCTCTTTACTGAAATTTGTGGCGCCTCAGAGGAATTAAAGCAGGAATATGAATAAGAATCAGATTTTGTTACTCTATGTATTTGTTTACCATATTGTTTTTAAAATATTTAAAACTTCAATAAGTTTGTGAAGATCCAAGGAAAAGAAGCGTAACCTGTCCTTTAGCGGCCTCTGGGGACTGAAGTTTGTATTACACCCATTTTATTTAATCTTTCATTATAAACGTAATAATGATGTATAAAGTCAGATGTTGTGATGCATTAAGAAGCCATTTTAATGTGTTTTTTTGTTTGTTGTTGTTTTTATTAGTTGTGTTTATCAATAAAATTATATAACCCTTAAACTACATAATGAATATTTGCTTTATTTGTGACTGATTAATTTCCTGCTCTGTCAGTCAAAAATATTTTGTATTTAATAATTTAAACACGTTCACATCTTTCTGGGCTCTTTAGTTACTTTTACACTACATTTACTTGGCTGAGACGCTTCAAAATATTTTATATTTTCCAGGTTTATTTTTCGTTAGTGCATAGTAATAAATATCTTTTAGAATACATTTCTTTTTCAAAGCATAATTTTTAATCACTTAATAAATATGAACAAAACTTATTCGTTTATGTGTTTCAAACATTGTCTCCATATTTTATCTCATTTTTGGGGAGGATGTATTTATTTCTCCATTCTCCTGCCTGTTTTCCCGTCTGAAGTGTTTTCCTCCACTGGTCCCTGAACGGGTCTCCGCTCCGTTAGCCTGATTAGCCTGCTAACCGCCAGCCTGTGTCCGTCCTCCACCCACCATGTGACCGACGGGCAGACCGGAGCTGCCGCTGCTTCCTCCCGGTGACGTCGGGCCGTAAAGGCGGCAGACAGGAGCGGATCGGCGGGGCACAGCTGCGGACCCGACGGCCCGTTGTGAGGATTAATCGATCGCTGATCAGAGCGGGGCTGATTGACGGACTGCCGAGCGGTGGTTTAGCGGTTTAGCGGTTTCGGATGGAGGAGGGATGCGTTGCCTAGAAACAGACACAGGACTGAGAGTGGAAACAGGCCGAGCGTCACTGCAAGTAAACACCTTCAGCTGCACCAACATCTCCATGTTTTGACCTGCTTACACTTCAAGACGAGCTGCTCCAGCCTTTAGGATGATAAATGTTTTCATTTTAATCAAAACCAAACATGTTTTTAATGCTAATGGCTGAAATATGACGTTAGAAATGGTCTTAGAAACGTTCACGTTGACTGATGATCCAATAGGTCCAATGTGGCTCCGGAGAAAAACAACCATTTTTAGTGTGCTGCAGTCCAGTTTTATTATTCTAATATTTCCAAACAGTTTCTGCGACTGAATGAAGTTTATGAGATTTAAAAAGCTGCAAAACTCACCAGCAGTTTGGTTGAGTTGTCAATGTTAAACAGTCAATATTGGATTCTGGGATATTTAGCTTAATATTAAAAACTTATTCAACATAGTTTGAGTGGTGATTCATTAATCTACTGCTTGCAGATGATTTTAACATTTACGTCCCAAACATTTGTGGTTTTACATTCATACTGGAATGTTTAAATAACACATAAAACTTGACTTGTGTTAAGTGGCAACAGACTTTAACTTACACCTTATTTGAGTGGTAATTTATTAACATATGCAGATGATGTTATCATTTATGTAAATTCCAGAAATGTGGGGTTTTGGAATATTTTAATAACAAGAAAAACTTGACTTAAGTTTATAGGTTAATTCTGCTGCTTGACTATTTTACTTCCATCCAGCAGAAATTTGAATCCATCTCTTTTTTTTATTGTAATCCAGACTCTGAATATTTATGAAAATATTTTCTTTTGACTTTGGATCCTATTTTAACTCAATTTAATTCAAATTATGCCATTTTTAATTGCAGAAAACATAAGTGGGAAAATAAATAATAAAAAAACCTTAAGTAAATATATCTTACCATTGTTGTTGTTGTATCTATTTTTTCTAAGTCTAGGTCTACATAATTACAACAGTAATGTCGTACATAATAATAATGTTAATTTCTAATTAAATTAAATTACAGAGTCCAGCTCTAAAGGTCTGTCTTTGTCTTCAGGTTTAGGATGAGCCTGTAAGTCTTCACTCAGGGAAAAGCAGCCGTCATGCCGTGTACCTGTGCAGAGTGGAGGAGATGGATCCGCCCGCTGGTTCTGGTTCTGTACGCCCTCCTGCTGGTGGCCGTGGTGCCGCTGTGCGTCTGGGAGCTCCAGAAGGACAAGGTGAGACCCTCCTGACTCACCTGGGCTCCGTTACGAGCCTCATCCGATCCAAACGTTTTGACCCAGAGAGGTTCTGCTGCTCTGTCTGCGCAGGTCGGGACTCACAGCAAAGCCTGGTTCATAGCCGGAGTGTTTGTGTTCCTCACAATCCCCATCTCCCTGTGGGGGATCCTGCAGCACATGGTGCACTACACCCAGCCGGAGCTGCAGAAACCCATCATCAGGTGAGACATAAACACAACCAGCACCGAGTTTTCACTCCGCTTAATGTGGGTTTAGCTAACTGCACTGAAAAAAATCTGACAATTTTCAGATGTTTGTGCTGCAGTGGAGGGAAAATAACACAATAAGAGGGGAGCATGGGCGGATTCAGGGGTGGGTTCATGGGGGGCGCTGACCCCTACAAAAAATTAAACTAACCTTTTGTATCAAATAAGGTTTTGATGACTCAGTTGTTCACAGATAAATGAAAACAACACATATTTTCTGCTAGAGAAAACATGGGCAGATTCAGGGGTGGGTTCATGGGGGGCAGGCCCCTTCAGAAATCTGATTTATTCTTTAGGTACATCAAGTTACAACCAGCTAAACTTTTTAAACATGAATAAAAGTAGAAAAACTTTGACAATGATTCAAATTTCTGTTGTGACTGCATGTTAGAGGAGCAGCCATATTTATCTAGTTGTGGTTTGAATAAAAGTGTGAATATATCACATTTTAGTTTTAACTCTCTGTAAGTTTACAGAAGAAAACACATCTGGTGTATTTTAGAAAAAATAAAATCAATTATTACTAACTAGATTACTGTACAAACCCATTCAATAAATAAGAATATTGACTTTAGTAACTCCATCACCAAGAGAAACACATTAATTATAAATTAATTAGGCAAAGACTGATGTTTTAACACCTTTGTCTCTTTTAGTTATGATGATTATCTGCTTACAGTTCATGAAAACATGAAATTTAAAAGTGGAATATTATATCAGACCCATAAAAATGTTTATTACATGCTTAACAGTTGTTAATTTTCAAAAGACATTTTTAATCTGACAAATGACACCAAACAGGACGTATATTCTAATTTGTATGTAATTTTAACTACATGCTATTTGTGTTGGTAAATTATTTTCATGCACTTTGATCCTCTGAAGTAATTCATAAAACAACATGAATAATAAAAAAGAAATTACAGTTTTAGGGAAGAAAACGCAGGTAACAACGACATGCAGGAAGTTTCTGAAACTTTCAGATTTTCCACAGAAAGAAAAAAAGAAAAATAAAGTGCATGAAAATTCAAACCTGGCAGAAATACTCAGATTCTCTGGTTTGTTTTCGTCTGGCAGGATCCTGTGGATGGTGCCGATCTACAGTTTGGACAGCGTGAGTCAATAATGAGACGATAATGAGACACTGTAAAACATTCAAAGGTGGTTTAACTTGAAAATCCAAGTCCACCTGCTGCCATGAAAATACAACTTAAGTCGACAAGAAAACAGTTTTAGTTTAAACTCAGAAATTAAAATTCATGAGGTTGATCTAACAACAAGAGACAAGTTGTCTGAACATTGTTTTTTAACTTCAATAATCTTAAATTGTGAGTTTTAACTTAAAGTTCCAATTTAAACCAAATAATTATTTCACAATATACAAGAAAAAAACTGTCCAAAACTGTCCTCACCTGGTTAAAGAGCCAAATTTCTTTATTTTACTCATAATGTCAAGTTATAATAACTATTTTACTTTAGAATAATTTAAATTATTGTTTCAAATTGCATGAACAAAATTTCTGATCTGAGAATGAATTTTATTAAACATCACAATGAATTCAGCTCACAATCATTTAGTGTGAACAGGACATAAAAATGAACATTTGCCTTAATAAAACAGAGTCAGATCAATGTAACGCATTTCCATCTCGGGTAACTTATTTGATTTAAAGAGTAGAAAATAGTAAACACAACTAAATGCGGCTCAAATGTTTTACAGTGTGGCAGCAGATAAAACTGAGCTCCATTCCTCACAGTGTGATTCAGGCCTTCCTCTCTCCTCTTCCTCGCTGCGTCCAGTGGCTGGCCCTGCGCTACCCCAGCCTGGCCATCTACGTGGACACGTGCCGGGAATGCTACGAGGCCTTCGTCATCTACAACTTCCTGGTGTTCCTGCTCAACTTCCTGAGCAACCAGTACCCGAGCCTGGTGCTGATGCTGGAGGTGCAGCAGCAGCAGCCGCACCTGCCGCCGCTCTGCTGCTGCCCGCCGTGGCCCATGGGAGAGTAAGACGAGCCGCGCCGCGCGACGAGCCGGAGGAGGTGAAGGGTTTTATGTTTTACTCATTTCTCTGACAGGGTGCTGCTGTTCCGGTGCAAGCTGGGAGTCCTGCAGTACACTGTGGTCCGACCCGTTACCACGGTGATAGCGCTGTAAGTTGGTATTTTTTAAAAATATTTTCCTTCCTGCACATTAGAAACCATCAATCTTCAGTTCTCTGGTATTTCTAAAGGTTCTTTAAAGGAGATTTGCTACGCAAAATTCAAATTCTTAAAGTTTTTTATGTCCATTTTTGTCTCAGCTGCTTTAAAAAAACACCCAGTCATCTTTTGGCAACAAGTTGATGTTTTTTAGTGTCTGGAAAATGAGCCGTTTCAAAAACCTCTGGAATGTTAAGTCATGCTGCCCCGTTACCTAGCAACGCCAGCTGAGTCCAGTCCTGCTACCTAGCAACCCCAAACTAGTCATGAGTTCCAGCACGTTTGGTCAGCTGGTTTTATATGTGCTGTACAATGGCTGCTGGGAAAGACCAGTGTTTTATTATTGACTTACTGTTTAGAAACCATTTTCTGCAATCTTGTTGGTTGTGCAAGAGGCTCCACTTCTGCTTTTCAAAGATGTACGGTTGTAGAATTGCGCGTCTGTTGGCGGCCATTTTCATATGTGAGTGTACAAGTTGAGCTTATTTGGATTTAAAGTGACAGAGGCCCTAAATAGGCAGAACTGACTAGATTAAACCTCAATTCTGAGAATGATTTTGTGGAAAAAATGTAATAAACATGTTTTGAATAGGCCATAACTCTGTTCTGATCTGTTAAAGGAAGCACAGCTGGTCACCTTTAAAGATATTTTAAACTTTAGTTGCTTTATTTCTCATTTTCTTTCCAGTTATGATATTTTTAGCTGCAGTTCTCAGCTCATCAGAGCATTTTTGATACTGAGTGGATCTCTTTGTTTCCGCAGCATCTGCCAGCTCTGTGGCGTTTATGATGAAGCCAACTTCAGCTTCAGAAACGCCTGGTCCTACCTGGTTATAGTCAACAACATTTCCCAGCTGGTAAACACAAACATCAACACAACACACCCAAATAAAAATGAAAAACTGATCCCTAAACGTTGGTCCAGCTGCTCTCCTCTCTGGTTCTGTCGGTCCAGTTCGCCATGTACTGCCTGGTTCTGCTGTACAAAGCCCTCAGAGACGAGCTGACTCCCATCAGGCCCGTGGGGAAGTTCCTCTGCGTCAAACTGGTGGTGTTTGTCTCGTTCTGGTGAGAACGGAGGCCGGACTCCGTCTGTGTCTCGTTATGTTTTAGATAAAACAGTCAGTGCTGGTTTCCCTGCAGGCAGGCGGTTTTTATAGCCTTCCTGGTGAAAGTGGGAGTGATTTCTGACAAACACACCTGGGACTGGGACAGCGTGGAGGCCGTAGCCACCGGACTGCAGGTCAGGATAAATATTTAAAGACTTTTTAAAATATGTTTCCATTACAAATGTGCACAAAATGTTGTTGATATTTGGCTAAAGTTGACAAAAAACCAAGAATTTCACAATTGTGATGTTTCCATTAAATAAGAAATGCAATTAAAATCACACATGATGAAGTTTAGTCACGCTGTAAGTCATTAAAAACATTCAGCGCCATCATTCTCCCACCACTTCCTGTCGTCTTCTTTGTTGTTTCTGCTAGTAGTAAAATCCGGTTTTTGATCACATGACTGGTGTGGTGTTTTTTCATTGCAATTTTGTGAAATAAACTAATTTAATTTCATCCAAAAAAATCACTGCATCGTATCACAAAAACTTTTAATAAAAAAATTAGACTTTTTTCAAAATGCTACAATTTTTATCTCTAAAACTGATTTATTGATTAAATGTCTGATTGATTCACAGGACTTTATCATCTGCATAGAAATGTTCCTGGCTGCTATCGCTCACCACTACACCTTTACCTACAAACCCTACGTCCAGGTATCCATCCATCCATCCATCCATCCATCCATCCATCCATCCATCCATCCATCCATCCATCCATCCATCCATCCATCCATGGGTTTCTTTCTGTTTTCCTGCAGGAAGCAGAGGAGGGTTCGTGCTTCGACAGCTTTTTGGCCATGTGGGATTTCTCAGACATCAGAGCAGATGTAACTGAGCAGGCCCGCCATGTTGGTGAGCATCATCAGCAGATTTCATTGGTCTCCATTTATTTTTACATATGTAATACAGAATCACTATAGCACAGCTTTTTCCTCTTTTCCAAAACTTAAAAGTCCCTTTTGATATTCTCCATATTATTGTTTATTCATTTCAGAAACAGAGAAACAAACCTTGTTATAAGTTAAATTATCTGCCAATGAAACTAGAACCTTTTCATTAATATTTAGGACTTTTTAACTTAAAACCAGCTCTTAGATTTTGCTTGTGAGTTAGTTTCGTTTTATTTTCAGTGTACTGAGATATTTAACCAAAAATACTTGGTAATATTTTGCGTTTTTGCAGTGTAACATTACTGTCATCAAACCGTTTTCCAGACCTCCATGGTTTCCTCTTCCACAGACTGATGATGTTTCTCTCCCTTCAGGTCGTACTTTCCTGGGACGTCCCAATAAGATGTACTTCGGCGTCGCGGCTCGACCCGAACACACCGAGCACACCGGCCTGCTGAACTCCACCTCCCAGGATCCAGTCGTCGCCGCGGCGACCTCCATGCCATCCTCCCCGTCTTCGGTGGGGCGGTACCAGGGCCTGGGCCACACCACCGCCCCTCACTCCATCTCCGCCCCGGCAGGTTTCACGTCTTCGTCCTGGGAGGACGACAGCGACTCCACGCCGCCGCGACTCGGACAGTAACAGAGATTCAAACTCTAGGTCTATGATAGAAAACTGAAACAGAGCGAATGCACTCTGAGGTCAAAGCCATGTCTGTTCAGAAGCTGGTATAACTTTAAGGTGAAGATGTGAATGTTTATAATCTGTATTTTGCTGTAGTTTTGATAAATGTGTCTGATGGGTTGGAGGAGGGAAGCAGCTTGTTGTTTCAGTTTTGTGCTTCATGATGTTGAAGTCCTTCAGAAAACTTTAACTGTTTGTCCCGACTCAATAAAAACACCTGGATTAACACAAACTGGTTCTACCATTAAAAGGCTCTGCGCTCTAGTATGCCGTAATACGTTTAAACACTGTTACCAGAGTTAGGTAGGAACTAGTCACATTTACTTGAGTAAAGGATTTTTACTGCTTTTTACTTGAGTAACTTTATTATGAAGTATTTCTTCTCTTACTTCAGTAAATTTCTGGATTTTCTACCCACTGAATGAAAAACATGTTTTAATCAAAAAGTCACCAGACACAGACACACGCCTGCAGTTTTTATTAAAGTTTCATAAGTTTTTCATTGAATGAAACTGATTGGAAAAATTTTCCCTGATTTTATTTCTTTTGTTACTTATTTGAATTATTGTCATTTTTGTCTTTAAAAATTTCCACATAACTTTATATATTAGGTTGTCTGGATGATGTAATTTTTAAATATTAAATGATCAGTTACTCTGTTCTTAAGTCGACTTTTACCAAATACTTTTTACTCTTAACTGAGTGAAAATATGTTGAAGTACTTTTACTCTGTTCACCTCTGACTGTTACTTTGGATGATGGATCTAAGATGTTATATAAACTCCTGCAGATTTAATAATTTTATTAGAATTCAGAGTTACACTTTTTGTCCACTAGATGGCAGTCCAAATGAGACTGCAACTCAGAAATAATTGTTTTAAAATTACGTAAAACTATGGGGAAAGACAAGTATTTAATTAAGTTGCCAGTGTGAAAGATGGAATAAAAAAATCTTATTGAAAAAAAACTAGCAAGACTTTAATCTGCCTGCAGATTATCATATTATGAAAGAAAAACAAGTTGTTTTCATGAACAGTCCTGTTATTATCTTGCAAATATTTACGTATTTGTGATTATTCTTTTATTAACAGAACCCTCATCTAAAATCAAACAACATTTTTTCTGTAGTTTTTATCTTGCAGCTTTAACTCAATTTTAATCTTCCTGCTCTGTGAAGAGGGACTTTCTCTATTATCAAATAGAAAGTGATAGAAGACAGAAAAATCCCCTGTTCAGCGCAGAATAAGCTTTGCAGCACACAATCTGTTTATTATGAACAGCTTTTATTACAAAAGCTTAGCAGAAAATACACAAATACACTTCCTGATTAATTTCATTATTAGGTTCAGATTTGTTAATAACTTTTGTCTCCATGTCTATAAACTGTCATTTTGGACGAACCATGAATCAGTTTCAGCATATTTACATCAGGGGACAAAATAATTCACATCGGCTTTATTAGCAATTATGTTCTTATCACTTTAATGGGGTTCAGTTCTGATCCAACGAAACCGAAAGTAAGAGATTAGATTAGCAGCAGAGACATTGCAGGTACTTTCCTAAACGTCGCAATAAAGCCGTGCTGGTTCGAACTGGTTCCGAGGACAAGTCACAGTCCAAAGGTGGAGGAAAACGAGGTAACCTGAGCAGCGAAATGTGAGTTTCTGCATGTTTTGTTCCTATTGCTCTTGTCGGACTCGGATTTTCTGACATGTTGTCTGCTCTGCAGCAGACATTTTGTTTCAGCTGCGCAGATCCTAAAACTGGAGTTTACAACAACTTCTGCCTCGCACTGAACACAAACAAACCCGAAACTGTTTTGAAGTTGTATTTTAGTTCAGCAGCCATATTGATTTTCAAACGCGCGTCTAAATATGATTTTTTTTCTTTTTGTTTGGATTTTTACGTTTACATAATCAAAACATGGTGAAAGATGAGCGGAAACTGGAGCAACATTGCAGTATTTTGAAATGTTTAGGTTTTAATGATGCATTTTAAATGCATTTTCCATGTATTTGTATTATTTCTAACTTTTAAACATGCATTAGGTTATTTCCTGGCATAACTATGTTATTTCAACACTCTGTTCACTTATCTGATTAAGTATAGAGAGGAGAATGAAATCTAATACTCGAAGCCTTTTTTGTTTACACTGTGGTCTGTGCGCGTGCTTATGTAAGAGTCTATGGCAAGCCGTTAATATAAAAAATGCTATAATAACACGTTGCCCTAATCCATAAATAACTAGATTCTTTCGCGCAGCTGCCTTACGAATACAAAAGCAAAAACAAAAATTTCCTTCTTAAACTGCAGTTTAACACTAAAGTTTGCTATGGCATTAAATGCAATCTCTCTGTTATTTTCAGAAAATACAGTAGTTTTTAACACCAAAAATAATTATCTGTTTAAATAGGTAATGGCATTTTATTACACATACACCACCGGCAGATTTTTTTTTTACTTTTACTTTGCCTTAACTGATGCTTTGATAGTTTTATTTTTTAAAATAACAAAATGTGAATTAAATATATGGTGGCTAGCAGCTTGTAGTTCCTCTTAAATAGCAGCAGATGTCAGCAAAAACTTCAACTCTACTTTAAATTTGACATTGCAAGTTATATGTCAAGTTTTAAACATGTCCATCTTTCCTTTTTGTTAGTATTATCAGTGAACAGTCAAAATGCAAATAACAGCCATTTAAAGAAACCCAGGATGAAACCTAAAATAGATGTTGAATGTTAAATGTCTAGGCACCAGCTGACACTAATCTTATGTTTTTATATGTTGTACATGTTTAAGGATCAATGTGTATAACTTAGATCTCGTAAATTTGACTTCTGAATACAAATGAAATCACTGAATCTAAATACTGCAACTGATTTATTTTGCTTGGATGTTTTATTTTTCTTCATTTTAGCTGGTGCAGCAGAAATGGCTGACAGGAGAAAAAGGCAGCGGTCAGAGTCGACTGACTCCCCCAGTGAGTCGTCACACAGGTAATGCTGAACCAAAACAAAAACATTTATTATTAACCTGTTAGTTTGTTGCTTTTTGTCTCATTTTGCATTGTTTGTCTGTGAAGTATCAAGATTAGAAGATCAATAAAAACGACCAAAAAAATAATAATTTAGTCAGAAACAAAAGCTTGAATTATAAAAACTTCAAAATCCTCTTAAAAACTGTAGAATCATTAGCACAATGATTTTCTTTAGCACTGCTCTACTTTATATTTTTTCTTAATTAGGATTGTTGAGTTATGAGGTTTGTCATGATTAATTCTTTTTAAGATGTTGGAGTTTTATTTCCCATTTTTCTTTGCCTCTTATCTTGGAAAAGATTAATTAAATCTGTATATAACTGTAGATATAATAGTCCCTGTATTTATCTTTCCTGTAGAAATGTGGCAATATTTACCAGACACAATAAATCAGTAAGCAAGGTTATATTTGATTCAAAAATAAAAATGATCTGTTTGTAGTTCACAGATGAGAAGATCTGAATCTCCAGCTGCCAGCCCTGTGTCGATGAAGAGCGATTCATCCAAGTTTGATCCGCCATATTTTAGTGATGAACCAGCTTCAAGGTAAAGCTGCTTCTTTTTTATCATGCTTAAAAAATAAATACCTGAATGAACTTTAGAAACATCACATGTTTTTCCGATTATAGGGATTTGCTTCTATAGCACACTGTAAAATGTATTTTCTTTATTACAGTTAAAACTATTTGCCGACTTGAGACCTGACAATTATAAAAATGTATAAAAAATGTAAACAATGCTTCAGTATTTTTGTAAATTGTCAGAGGTAAGTGGATTCATGCAAAACAGCAAGAGTTTGTTTATTTGTAACTTTATTTACATTTCCTTGTTGGGACGAGGAACATAGAAGATAATTAAAACATTAGTTTTAGTGAAAAGACTTCTGTTTGTAGTTCACAGTTGAAAAAAACCAGCCCTTCAACTCCAAGCATTGTGTCCATGAAGAGCGATAAGTCCAAGGCTGAAATGCCTTATTTTGCTCCTGAAACACCTCCAAGGTAAATTATACTATTTATCACTGGTCTGAAAAGGTTTACACAAGATTTCTAAACTGTCATGATTTGAGGTGGTGAGGATTGACCCAGGTTGTGGTGTGAAAAATGATGATGATGATGATAAACAAGGAGTACAGAAATCCAGGCAGCACAGGTGAGCAGACAGCTAGGAGCTCAGGCACAGGTAGCAACTGGATATAAAACACAAATGGAGCAGAGTGACAAAGATAAGATATGACAAGGATCCGACAGGGAACAAGAGGTTTAAGTACACAAGAGGTAATCAGGGAACGTGAGGGACAGCTGGGGACAATAAAGGGGTAGATGGGACAATACAGAGAATCAATTAACTGAAAACAAAGGAACCTAAATCCTTACATAAACAAAATATGTAAGCTGGCAAACCTCTGCTGGAAAGCTGTGCTTTGATATGCGATTTATTAAACTCAATATGTGATCTATTAAACCTTTGATTTATTTGTGAAAACAGATATATTGGTTACACAGAAACTTCACTATTTTGACACAAGCACCACCCTACTGTTAGTCAAACCTTGAGTAAACTACCCAACCTTCCTTACAGAGCCTTTGATTTGTGAAAACATTTCTCTGTTTGTCTCATTCTTTAAACTCATTTCCCTTCTCAGGTTTGTACTCAGCTGCTCCTCATCCGCCTGATTGTTCTCCTCATGACTCTCATCTGTCTTCCCTGTAGCTTTTAAGCTAGTCAGTTTCCCTCACTGCTTGTTGGACCTTCAATGAAGTTTCCCTTTCACCTTTAGTTTTCCTTCCTTTATGTTCATTCCTTCTGCACCTGTAAGTTTGTTGTCCTCAAACAACACAAGCATGATCATATTGTCTTGTCTCCTGAACTATATCTATCGATTTTTTTAGTCCTTATTGTGACTGACATTAGTAATTAGATGTTTTGTTTATCCTGTTTAGCCAACCGCTGCACTGTTCGATGTGCGACAAGGTTTCAACAGATCAACTCCAAATGAATTGTGGATGCTGGTTATGCAGAGATTGTGCTGAATCAGAATCACACCAGTCTCCTTCAACAGTGGACACATGTCCAAAATGTGGGAAGAAACCCAAAAGAACAGATGGTAATTTTTTTTTTAAATAACTTCACTTCCTACAGTTCATCATAACTTAAATGTGTTGTTCTTAGGACATTTTTCAAGCTTAGGGAGAGTTAGCTTGAAACTCTCCCTAATCAAATATCAAATATC